AGAGAGTGAGTTCTATAGCGCCGAGGTCTCTCCCCTCCCCAAACCCTGCCTTCCCCAGGCTCCACCCCCACATCTCTAGGAATTCCCCAGACCAGAGTTGGCAAGCTTATGTACTGTAGGATGAAGCAGCAGAGTTGCCAGCCTCGGGTAGCACCTGGAGATCCTGCTATTACAACTGAGCTCCAGACAACCAAGATATGTTCCCTTGCTTTGGAGGGTCAACTCTACTATGGCTTTGTACTTGGATGAGGTCTCTTCCCTCCCTAAATCCCGCCCACCGCAGGCTCCACTGCCACACACCCCATGGATGTCTTTTTCTTTAATCACATGTGTAAGTCTGGAACCCAGCTAAGAAAAACACACATGCCCATGGCATTGTTATAAAATCATGCATCCCTGGTTTAAGCACTGAGAACAAGTTCTGAAGCAAAGGGATCCAAGCCCAGAGTCCTTTTCAACTTCAACAGTCCATCCATTAACAACAGGCCTATTTATTATTATTTATATGGTTAGAAAATGTTTATGCTGACTTTCCAGGAACCTGCCCTAGACGACTTACAAAATAAAAATAATGTTAAAAATTAAAAGATTCTAATTAAAATCCAGCATTAAAAAAACAGCCCAGCACAAAAACAGACCACTGTTGACATCTTACAGTAACAGTTTCCAGACTAAAATAGAGATTTAAAAAATCAACTCCTCATTTAAAAGCCCCTGTGAACAGAATTTTTTTTTGCCCTGGAAGCTAAAAGAAACCAACATAGGTGCCAGGTGAGCCTCAGGAGGAAAGGCATTCCACAGGAGAGGTGCCACTACTGAAAAAGCCCTGTCTGTGGATGCCACCCACCTAACCTCTGAAAGCAGGGGCACAGAAAGCAGGGCTTGTGAAGCAGAGTTTAATTGGTAGGTGGGACAATATAGAAGGAGGCAGCTCTTCAAGTGGTAATCAAGAGGAGATCGTGGTGAGATCATGGTGAGGCCGTGATTAACATACCGTAGTTTCTCAGGATACTTTATGCTGCATAGAGAAGTATAGAGAGTTGTAATCCACAACAACAGCTGTCAGCAAATGAACAGTCCATTCTCAAACAGAGCTTTTGTTGTTGTTCAGTCGCACAGTCGAGTCCGACTCTTCGCGACCCCACGCCAGGCCTTCCGGTCTTCCGCCGTCCTCTGAAGTTGGCTCAATTTCATGTTCGTTGCATCTATGACACTATCTAACCATCTCATCCTTTGCCGTCCCCGTCTTCTTTGACCTTCAATCTTTCCCAGCATCAGGGTCTTCTCCAGTGAGTGCTCCCTTCTCATTTGGTGGCCAAAGTATTTGAGCTTCAGTTTCATTATCTGGCCTTCCAGGGAACAGTCAGGGTTGATTTCTTTTAGGATTGACTGATTTGATCTTTTTGCAGTCCAAGGGACTCTCAAGAGTCTTCTCCAGCACCATAGTTCAAAAGAATCTATTCTTCGGCGCTTGGCCTTCCTTATAGTCCAACTCTCGCAGCCATACATGACTACTGGGAATACCATTGCTTCCTTACATTACTGGGAATACCATTGCTTCCTTATAGTCCAACTCTCGCAGCCATACATGACTACTGGGAATACCATTGCTTTGACCATGCGGACTTTTGTTGGCAGGGTGATGTCTCTACTTTTTATCATGCTGTTTAGGTTCGCCATCGCTTTCCTCCCAAGGAGCAGGTGTCTTTTAATTTCATGGCTGCTGTCACAGTCTGCGGTGATCTGGGATCCCAGGAACATGAAGTCTGTCACTACTTCCACGACTTCCCCTTCTATTTGCCAAGGAGTGATGGGGCCAGATGCCATGATCTTAGTTTTTTTGATGTTGAGCTTCAAGCCCACTTTTGCGCTCTCCTCTTTTACCCTAAACAAGAGGCTCTTTAGGTCCTCTTCACTTTCTGCCATTAGAGTGGTATCGTCTGCATATCTGAGGTTTTTGATCTTTTCCCCAGCAATCTTAATTACCGCTTGTAATTCATCCAGGCCAGCATTTCGCATGATGTACTCTGCATATATATTAAATAAGCAAGGGGACAATATACATCCTTGTCGTACTCCTTTTCCTATGCTAAACCAATGTGTGTCAAGGGGTCTATCTCTACTTAGGACTGCACTGAAAGTATCTTCCCCTTACAAAGTAATCACATGAAGGGGGCGTGATTTAAATTCAGATGATGTCATTTCCATGCTGGCTTTGGCTCCAGCATCTTGAGAGATTAGATTTATACCCCGCCCTTCACTTGGAGTCTCAGAGCAGCTTACAAACTTCTTTCCCTTCCCCTCCCCACAACAGACACCCTGTGAGGTGGGTGGGGCTGAGAGAACTCTGACACAAACTGCTCTTTCAGGAACAGCTGTGCCAGACCAAACAAACATTAATTTGTGACATGGCTGTTTCTGTTTTAAGAATGGGAGTTTATTTTTAGAATAGGGAAATGTTTTTAAAAAAACTTTTAGAAACCATGACTATGAGCTTGCAGGTGCTTCACGGGAAAAGTTATAAGGATGGTCAGTGTGTTCAGCCACGAACAGAACATCGATTCACACCTCCCCCTGCAAACTGTTAGAACAGGATCTGAACAACCTGGGAAACCTTGCAGCCTGACCAAGTGTGGGAGGCAGGCTACAGCCCTGTCATGGCTGTAGTTAACCAAAGGTGAGGTTATGGTATTGTTTGACTTTATTCTAAGTGTTTCTTCTTCCTGCATAGAATACCAGTGGAATAGCCTGCCCCAATTCACAAGCACACATATTCAAACTGGCCCTTTTAAATATTTCTTCTTCTTGGCACTACAATTCCTCTTTTATTGAAATGTTGTAACGTTGCCTCAAAAATATTGAGAGAACAGGGTATAAGAAGTTTTAATACCACTAGTATAATTTCTTTTTTAAAATCATTTAAGCTAACGACCTTCACTACCTCCAGTGGCAGTGAGGTCTGCAAGTGACTTATGTTCAGGACAGACAAAAGGAAATACTACTTTACACAGTGATTAAAATGTGGAATCTGCTGCCAGTGATGGCCACAGGAATAAACAGCTTTAGAAGGGGATTAGATAGATTTATGGAGGATAAATCTATCAATGGCTACTAGCCATGGTGACTGAGGGGAACCTCCACATTCAGAGGCACTAAGCCTTTGAATCCCAGAGCCAAGACGCAACATCAGGGAAAGGCCTTGGCCTCTATGCCCTGTTGTTGGCCGTCCAGAGGAATTGGTTGGCCACTGTGTGAAACAGGATGCTGGACTAGATGGACTATTGGTCTGATCTAGCAGGGCTATTCTTATGCTTTTATATGTTACTAGGAAAAAGGCTCGTTGTGGAAATAAATACAACGACCTCTAGAAAGAGGCTCTGGGCGGATGTCCTTGCCTTGGACACTCAGTGTCAATTTGCTGTGGCGACCTCAGCAGGGTATAATGACACTGAGTGCACCATTTTCTCCAGAGGAACCGATCTCTGCTACCTAAAGAATAGTTTTGAGTGATCTCCAGCCCTCACCTGGAGATTGGCAGTGATGGTTCCCCAGAAGGGAATAGTTGGTTTGGAGGGTGGAGTCTATGGCTTTGTACCTGTCTGATGTCCCACGCCTCCTGAAACTTCACTCTCTCCAGGCTCCATCCCTCACATCTTCAGGAATTTCCCACCTGGAGTTGGCAACCCTATATCCTTCCCAGCCAATCATCAACCTACCTTTATTTCCCCCTCACTCTTCAGCTTTCCACCCCCCACACACCTGCAGCCTCTCCCGTGCTCTAAAGCCCTGACTGCTACGTCACATTGGCTGTCATATGGGGGCCACCTCAGCAGTATGAGGATACAGAGCCCACCATTTTTCTCCAGGGGAACTGATCTCTGCCATCTGGAAAGCAGTTGTAATTCCGAGTGATCTCCAGCCCTCACCTGGAGATTGGACACATTTTACTTCAGAAGAGCAAACTGTTTAGAATGTTAGAGGCAAAAGCCAATCAAGTCGCATATGCAAACGACCTCTGTGTTCCGAGGCAAAGGCCAATGAGGCTGCATATGCAAATAACCTCTGTGTTCTGACTGGCTATGGGGGGGAGAGGAACAGCAAAATGTTTAGAATGTTGGAGGCAGGACTCAGGCAAAGCAGCCAGTGGATAGGGAGACCCTCTGAATGACAGATCAGAGAGCGAACTGATTTTGGAGCATGTGGAATGTTCTAGAGAAGTGCCACCACCATTCGGCTTTTATTTATAAGGGAGATGTGTTGAATTCCAGCAGCACAATTTCCCCCCAATATATATTTAACTTTATTTATAAACTGCCTTTCTCCCCAAACAGTACCCATAGAAGTTTACATAATTCTCCATTTTATCCTCCTAACTCCATGAGGTACGTGAGGCTGACTCTGTACCAGGCCCAAGGTCACTGAGCAAGTTTTCATACAAAGTGGGGGATTCGAACCTGGGTCTCCTAAATCCTAGTTTGAAACTCAAACCGCTTACACAACACTGTCAAATGTTTAAGCTATGGCACTCTGCACATTCTCAAAGTCATCTTTGTCTTCCTATGTTCCAGACTTGACATATATAGTTGAAAATACATTCAGAAGAAAAGTCCGAGCACTGGCAAACCCTGTCTGAAGCTCAGCTCTGGCCAGATAATCTTCTTCCCTTCAGGTAAACCTGCTAGGTGAGGAAATGGTTCACCAAAACCCCTCTGCAGACAGGGAACACAAAATGCATGCGCAAAAGCACCTTTCTCCTTCTCCCGCCGACACACGCATGCGCATTAGACTTCCTTTGCGCATGCGTACTTGTAAGGGAGAAGCTGGAAAAGGGAAGGGAAGCGGCCTAGATGGATGTGTGGAAACACGCGGGGGCCATGATAAGAAAGGGAAGAGGAAGGAAATGAGCCAGGCCTGTAGGAAGGAAGCCGCAGCGTCCGAGAGGGCAGGGAGGAGGGGCCGAGCATGCGCAACGGTGTATCCTAAAGCAGCTGGCCGTTTCTCCAGCTGCCCGGGCGGAGCGGTGCGCATGCGCTTTCCAAACAGAGGGGGAGTCGTTGCCGTCGCCCGCTTTGCTGCTGTTGCCGCCGCTGCTGTCAGTTCCGGCTGCTTAGTGAGGAAGAGGATCCGGCCTCGGAGTTGCTTCCGCCGCCGCCTGTGGAGACTCGGCCCTCTCCCGACCCTAGGAGCGCCCGCTCCTTCCCCCTCCGCCGGCCATGGCCCGGGACTACGATCACCTCTTCAAGCTCCTCATCATCGGCGACAGCGGTGAGCGGCAGAAGGAGGGGAGGAGTGGGCGGAGCAAGGCGGGACCGGCCGGAGGAGCCTCCACTTGGCCCACCCTGAGGGGCGCGGGAGGGAGCTGAGGAACGGCGTTGGGGGAGGGGGTGGAGAGGGAGACCCCATTGGTGGGTGTGGGAGTATGAAGGAAGGGGCTATTGGTGGGCACTGAGAAGAAGCCCACTGGTGGACACAGTCGGTAGGGGGAAGAACAGGTGTTTTGGAGGGAGGGGTTGCTTTGGGAAGAGGCCTGGATTGGCCAGGATGGGGACAGTAAAGAGGTCGCTTTTTTTAAAAAATGCATTATTTGCTTGTGGTCTGACTTGGCTTAGTCTGCCCCAGGGTAGTGGTGGTGGTGGTGGTACAGAGAGGGAGGCAGTCACCGGTATGCTGTTTCTAAAAGGGTAGCATGCATTTAAAGAAATCACTTAGGGTTACTGTTTATCGTGATGGTCAAACCGTTTCAGATTTGTTGTCTTGCTGCGACAGCCCTGTAAGGTAGATTTCGGTGTGACCAAAACCAAATTGTGGATGGAGCTGTTGAGACTCTGAGAAAGCAGCTTGCCTATGGAGGTTGTGGCGGAGGTGAGATTTGAACTGGTGGTGTCCTAATCCTTATTCGGTTTGCTGTTCCGTGACAGCTGCATATTTCATGGCGGTGGCTCCAAGGTAGTGCCCGTGGGTATCGTGGTCTCCACCAATGCGTTTCTTGGTGCTCACTTGCTTCTTGATCAAAAAGACAAGCCTGGCTTTTCTCTACTTCAGTCGGAAGTGCTTTTGAGGAGCAGAGGAGCTGGTGTTGTGTCTGCAGGGAGCACCCATTTGGGAATAGGTGCCTTCATCAGCACAGAATGCTTGGTTTAGAACCTCATAATATTTTGTGGATCATTCTCTGTGACTATTCCCATCCCTCCATGGCAGTTTTGTGGTGGCATACCTGTCTGTTGTCAAAACTCCAAGGTTGGGCCTGCTTCATAGATGAAAACAGGGACACGCAGTACAATATTGACTGTGACTGATTTCGCACATGTAACTTACCCCTGGTTTTCGGCGGGGCATTTTGCCCTGGATCGTTCGTGGTGGGAGGAAAGCTGTACCATGGCATTTTGTACCTGTGCTTCTCTGTGCATGAGCATTAAGAGTCAAAATGCATCTGCCCTTCACCCTAGGTATTTTGACTTAGAGAGACTCAGCAGATGGAGGTTGAAACCCGGGTAACTTGTAATACGCATGCATTCACGGTAGCAATGCTTGTAAAAGACATATTGAACATGAACATGCACCTTATAATCTACTCGGTACCTCAGGCCAAACATGCTTTTTCAGCTTCTCAACAGACCTTAGAGCAGGTTAGGACACAAAACTGGCTTGCGACTCTTTCATAGGTGAGTTGTGTGAGCCTAGGAGGGAAGAGTAAGAACAGGGTGAGCTAAGAGGGTAGACCCTGAGAGGCTTGAAGGCAAATATGGTCTTGTCTCAGCAGAAAGTGAAAGATGGCTGTGGAATCCAGTGGGTCATTCAATAATGCTATATATTTTAAATTCAAAGTATGAAAATTGAATATTGTTCAGTGTTAACTAAAGTGAGATTCTGTGGGGGCAGGGGCACCATGAAGTCACTGCAAGTAGGTCCTAGAGACTATAGAAAGTGTAGAAGAGAGTCCAGCGACAAAAAATCTGAGTGTCATTGTGTTAGGTGCTTGCAGTGAAGATAAAATGAGGAGGAGCCTTTTATAGTCACTGTCCTGAGCTCTGGAGGGAGGTGAGATGCAGATACAATTGGTAGCAAAGGAAAGACTGTAAAGCATTTTGCAGAATGTTTTTTAAAGTACTACATAAATAATGAGATGGAGTAAGATCTGAAAATGACAGCATGTAAACTCTTCCCTTCTTCATGATCACCAAACCCCTACCCAGATGTTGGTATCCTGTGGGTGCTATCAGTTATGTAGCACCATCAGTATACATGGTACATCACACAGTGACATAAAAGTCAGGTCTCTGCTTCATTTAGGGTCCTCAAAGTAGAAAGCGAAAAGCACAGTTACAAGGAAATTAATATGAGCATATAGAAGATGCACATACTTAAGCTTCATTTCACTTAAGGTTTACTTTTAATTTGTATCTTGCCCATCGCCAAAGGAGCCCAGAACAGCAATCTGGCCTCACAACAATCTTGCCAAGTCAGTCATGCTGACAGGCAATAGCTTGCCCAAGGCCATCCAGTAAGCTTTGTAACTGAATGAGGGTTTGAAATTTGATTTCCATCTACCATACCTAGCATGGGCTTCTACCATACACAGTCTTTAAAAACAGGACAAACTTCTGCTGTCTTTGAACTGTGTCCAGAAATAAGAATCAGCCACTGAGTACGCCCTTTGTGCATTTAACAACCACATTTGGCATAGTATCATGTATTAAGATGCAAAGCGGTTGATTTTTAGGTACTGTGGTGGGGAGGTGATCTCTCAGTGTAGGTGTTGAGGTTTGTAGGTCATCCTACGAGGAGGGCTTATGTGCCACTGAAAAGTACTTATTTGTTCCAGAAGGCTACACTTGAAACAACCGCATCACACAAGCAGTAGCAAATAGCAGTTGCAGAAAAAGAAATCCAATTCATTTGCAAGGCAAGAGGCAGTGCACAAGCATGTGAACAAGCTGTGCTTCTGCCTGTCACAGAGTTGATTGTGACATCTCAATAGGGCCTATGAGTAGCGATTTGGATGCTTGAAATGCACCATGGGAATGCTGCGTATTTCCTGCACAAAAATGCTATCTGAGTAGAAAATGACCAGTGTATGAAGATGTTCTAATGACTGTGACTCTTCATCTATTTTCTTGGTTTTTCCTTGAGAGAGCCTTCCCCTCCTTGTGGGATAACCATCCTTGATCATTTTCTGCCCTAGTAGGTCTTAAAGAGTGGGTGAATGCAGCTGACCACGTACCAGTGGTCACTTACCATGATATGCTTGCTGCCATGTTGTCTTGCTGAGTGCAGAGGACAGTCTCACAACATCAGTACCTGATCAGAAAATGAAGGAAGCCGTGGAGTGGGAGGAGTCTCCTCTCCGCTTGGTAGGACAATTCAAATGATCCACTTACTAAGTGGTTACTTGTGCATTGTGGTAGATTAAAACGAAGCAATTGTTTGTTGATAGCCACTCGGTGTCCCATCCAGTCCCCTGACAAAAATTCCGTTTTATCCCAGTTGCCTGAAAAAAGGCTTGTGTGGGGACAGTGGCCTGTGTTTGCAATGTAAATTGTGTGTGGCTCATCCTACATCACAGAATTCCTTATGCTCCTCATTTTGCATGTTTTATCTTCTCAGTCCTGTAAGGAGGGTGTCTTGCCCCAGTCTGCCCCGTGAATTGATTCCATACATCCAGGAAAGACAACTGTCTCCATGAAAGAATGGAAGCTAATCTTCTGGCTCCTGCATCAACTCTAATCACTCCCCCCCCCTCCCATAACCAGGCTTGAAACTCACATTGAACCATTGTTTCAAGCCCTGAGCCTCCATGCCCCTGAGCTCCTCTTCAGAGATATCCATTTTTCCCCTTTTAACGGGAAACATCAAACAAAGTTAAAACCCTCCTAATCTTTCCATGTATCTGTACAAAGCAAAACAGAAGTATTGCTTCCACAAGCCGAATTCATACCAGCAAGCAGCAGGGCTGTCTTCCTTATCAGCGTGTGTGGAAAGTCCCATCTTCATCTGTAGCCCTCAGCCAGTCTTCAGTGAATCATGCGGGGGGTGGGGGGCAGGTGGGCTACTGGTGGAAAATGGCAGGATTGGAATAGTTCATTTTGGCCTCGCAGAGTGCTTGTTCTTGCTTGTTGTGTTATTATTACAGTTGTCGATCAGCAGCAGTTGCCATTTTCCTGTGGAACTTGCCGTTGTAAGATATTTGAGATGCATGTTGTTAAGGTTCAGAAAAGGTAGCAAAAAGTTAATTTCCCTCTCAAACCAGAATTTGCATGCATTCTTGTTAGCCAGAGAGATGGAAAAGACTGAGGAGCTTTCGAAAGCGCTGTCTTTTAGAATTGGGGAAGATTTTCTTCACAACATAAACTAATCTAGACTTCTTCAGGGCAGTACTGTTTCAAGAGCTGCATGTGGTGGTGGAGCAACTTAAACAGGCACATACCATAGCAAGTCTTATTACTCATTTTACCTTAATCCCAGTCGCTACGAAAGCCAGGCCAAATAAGGAGGGCTGGTGACACTCCTGCAAAGATGCTCAGGTTATAGAGTGTCTCCCAAGTTCCACTGTGAGTGTTTCTGTCCAGGTGTGGTACGCAGACACAGTGGTGAAAGTACATGGATATGGGCTGGAGTGGTGGAAGGTTCAGGGGAACTCTGGGAATACTGTTAAATGCTGGAAAAGTCTGCAACTTGTTTTATATTGCTGTTGGAGCTGGTTGGCTGGCTGAACATCACCATTTGAAAATTCCCTCATAGCAGGGATCAGCCTTTCCAATTGTTGCTTCCCCTGCCTCCATGTAGTCATTGTCATTCCCTCCCTGCCCTCACCTGACCCTTCAGGCAGAGTTAGGACTGGGGAACCCCGGGTTCAAATCCCTTTTCTGCCATCCTGTCCTCTACCTCACAGGGTTGTTCTAAGGATTAAATGGGAGAAGGGAGAGCCACATATGCCCATAGCTACTTGCAAGCTGCCTCAAGCATGTTTGCTGGAGGGATGGCATAGAAAAGTTAGATAAATAAATGCCACCAAGCTTCTTGGAGAAGGAGCAGGATAAATATGTGATAGCTGCTGCATGATACAGTGGCCATCATTTTTTCTCTTGTTTGTGATAGTCCTGGGATCCTTTTCTCTCTTAGTTGGAGTTGTCAATATTATTTAAGTCACATGGATTCCTTAAAGAAGTGTCAGAGCCAAAGATGGGAGAGACATTTGCTAAATGGTTGTAGCCAGAGGAGGGAGGGTGGGACAACAAAACCAATATACCTGCAAGAGCTTTTCTAGTGGCTTTGTGCAGAAGGTTGATCTCAGTCAGGTTGTAATGGGAAATAGAGGAGGAATCTCTGCAGTCCGCAGGGGTTGAATGCTTAGAGGGGTTTGTTGGCCAGAGTAGGAAGCCAGTCCAGGTGGTGGAGCACTAGAGAAGCACTCAGGTAGCATTTGATCGTCATAGCTGTTCACAGCATTTCACTTTAATGCATCTTCTTTGTTCTTCTGTTGTGGTTTAGTGCCCTCAGATGGTTTGACTTTAATATGCATTGCATTCATTGCAGCTTTTTTATTCAGGGTCCAAATTTTTTTGGTCTTCCCAGATTAGAGTGGCCCATCTAGACCATCATGGTTTACTCTGACTGCAAGTAGTGCTCCAGGGTGTCGGGCACAGGCTTTTCTCTGCTCTGCTATCTGGAGATGCCAGGGATTGAACCTGAGACCTTAAGCGAGTACCCTGCTACTTAGTTTGCCTGTGAGATAGTAGGAAGTTAACCTCGTAGTATGTGTAACTCTATTGCACCATAATATACTTTTTTTTCTCGGATGTACTTGAATGTACTTTGGCCGAGTTCTACAAGTGCGGTTTTAAAATCTGGTTCATACAAAATAACATTGATTGGATTCACCTTTGTGTTGAAAACAGAAGTCTATAATGCTCCTTGTGATTGCATTGCTGAGTGTCATTATGCTAAAAGAACAGGAGAAGGGCAGTCATTTTTACTCTAAAGCAGTGGTGGGCATTTGGACTGTGTTTCTGCTTTCAAGGAAGGCAGAATGAAATGAGGTTTTCATCCTCATGGCTGCAGACTGTTGAAAATATAACTGCGTGTGTTGCTTTGCGTCTCACTGTAAACCTCCCTCTGTATTTGTGCATCCTTTTCACTCTGCTGTGCCCAAGCAAGACTGTCAGTTTTGGTTAATGCCACTGAGATATGCCTGTGCAAAATATGAGATTCTGTGTTTTTCCTTAACATCCTTTTGGCTGTGCTTGGACGCAGCTGCTGGATTGCTTTTCACTGATGGGCTGACTGCAGGAAAGAGCATTATATACAAATCCCCAAGTGTTTGGAATTTAAAATGACATGCCCCAACCTCTTGCTGCTCCCATTCTACTTTGCATTTTAGTAGCTGTTGTTTTTCCCCTTTCTCTTTCAGGTGTTGGCAAGAGCAGTTTGCTGTTACGGTTTGCAGACAACACTTTCTCGGGTGAGATGGCTGAGGGCGATTCCAGCAGAGCTCCAGAAGACTTTTAATAATATGCAAATAATCCTCCAAGAAGTTATGTAGGAAATGGGAAGGTGTTTGCAAGCAGGGTGCTGAGATAAGGACATCCTTGTCCACTTCCTTAGACCTTGGGGACACCAGGGTCAAGAGCAGACCTCTTCCTCTACAAACACAATGTTCTTGGTCATGGGTACTCACCTCCTGTCACAGAACCCAGTGGGGTCAACAAGATTAATGAAGCTGAGTGATAGATTTCTTGGCTGCAGACTAATTTCTTCTTTCTTAAGTTTAGCATATGTGAGCTGTATATGCGTGTGAGAACAAGCAAGTAGGGGTATCCATTGTGTTTGTGGTAAAGGGTGCATGCAAAAGTAAAGGCATTACACCCTTGCACAGACCTGTGGAAGTTCAGAGGTTATTGTAGCCTGATCCCAACCTAGTTTTGGGGACCCTGGTACCTCTGCATCAGTGAAATAGCGAACCATCCTGTTTTTCATAGGCTACATGTCAGGGGTGGCCAAACTGCAGCTCGGGAGCCACATGTGGTTCTTTCACACATATCGTGTGGCTCCTGGCAAGGCAGCTGGGGAAGGGGAGGGGAGGCATGCCTCCCTGATTGGTCTTGCCTTCCCCAGCCAGTGTTCCCTTCCCTGGGTAGGCTTGGGGGGGGGGGGGGGGGAGAGCAGAGAAAGAAAGCAACGTTAATTTTAAATGCGTTCTCAAAGCACCCCTCCCCCAGCCTACAAATATCATTGGACAAATAAATATCATTATCAATATCTGTTTTTACCCCTTTTGTTTTTAATTTTGGCAGTCTCAGTATTAATCAAGAACAAATTTGCATATTTTCAAAAAAACACGTGTGTAATATTTGTTCATGTCTCGCGGCTCTCAAATATCTAACGTTTATTCTATGTGGCTCTTACGTTAAGCAAGTTTGGCCACCCCTGCTATACGTAATGCTTTAAAGTAATTTGGAGAGGGTTAATAATGTGGGCTTGCATTCAGTGGTTACATTAGCTCAAGGTAGTTCAGTCCTCATTCTGAAATGTTTTTTGTGTGTGCAGTTTCGGGGTGGTGGTTTCCCATTGTTAGGGGTTTTGCCTTTACTCCAGGGGAAAGGTGACTTTCTATGGGGAAACAACAAACAATATGCTAGCTGTTAGATCATTCCAGTGAATTAATGCAGTCAGCGTAAAAGCTTTCCTGATTAGTGCTGAAACCTATGTATAGACACCAGAGTACTAACTGAGGCGGCTATCTGTGTTCCATAAGGGCTGCATAGCTTATAGGATTGCTTTCTTTTTGCATATGGATTGTCTCTCTGCAGGCAGCTACATTACTACAATTGGGGTAGACTTCAAAATCCGGACAGTTGAGATTAATGGAGAAAAGGTGAAGCTACAAATCTGGGATACTGCTGGACAAGAGCGCTTCCGGACCATCACATCAACGTGAGTGTATTGAGTAGGGCTGCTGACCAAAGAATTAGATCATCTGCCTTGCAACTGATGAACTAAATTTAAACAAATACAAGCAGGGGACCTCTGTGGACTCTTGGGGAGGAGAGAGTGCTGTGCAGGGCCAACTGGCTAGGTGATGTCTGCTGCCATATTTTGGATTGGTGCGTCAGTGGGGCAGTTCTGCACATGTACATGTCTGGGGGCTTGTTCCCAGGTTTGCAGAAACCTTAGCACTGGGAGCCTCACCGTTTGGGTTATTGTGATCTGTACTCGATGGGTGGGGGGGAGAATGGCATTAATCAGTATAAGATGTATGTTTACTCAATCCACAATGGGTTCCTCTCTGAGATGTTATAAGAATTGTAAGACAGCACTCATTATTCAGTTGTGAGTTACCATTTATTACTAAAAGGAAAGGCCATCTGTAATATTTCGCATTATGATGATGACTCATCACAACCAAAATAGCCTTAAAAAATCAACTCCATGAAATTGGACCCAATTGATTTTGATAACAGTTTATAGTTGATTACCCATTTCAATTGATTAAAGTTCTCAGCCTTAGTATTTTATGTTTCTCTGTTCTTCAGAACAGAGTGCCAGTAAATAAAATAATAAAATTGCAGAACAAATTTTGCAGAATATAAATTCAGATGTGGCCAATGACCATAATTTATGCAGGCTACTGCAGAATGCAGCTGTTCTTCGTGGAGAATTGCAGATCCTTTGGTACAGATATTGATGTCCAAATTTGTATTTTAAAAAAGTATGCATGATACACACTTTTTATATTGTTGCACTGTATCCTGCATTAAGCTGGAACATGCCGAATTAGGGTACCATGTTCAGTCTTGTTCTTGGTTGTGAGTTCGTCATAAGCAACATGGATGAACTTATAATGTGGTGCTAGTTTGGTGTAGTGGTTAAGAACATGGACTCTAAGGGAACCGGGTTTGATTCCCCAATCCTCCACATGCAGCTGCTGGTGTGACCTTGGGTCAATTACAAGTTGTTTCAGAGCTGTTCTCTCAGGAGCAGTTCTCAAAAGAGCTCTCTCAGCCCCACCTACCTCACAAGGTGTCTGTCGTGGGGAGGGGAAAGGAAAGGAGATTGTAAGCTGCTCTAAGACTCCATCGGGTAGTGAATGTTGGGGTATAAATCCAATGTCTTAATGTGTGTGGCAGATGTGAGACTAAAAATGGTTTGCTTCCCTGGAAGCCCTGTGATTCTAAAGAACAGGTACACTGCCTCCTCGGTAAGTGATGTTGGCATGAATGTGTGATAGATCAGACACCTTTAAAAAGTCCACGTGTGGAAGACAGATCAGAGTGATACATTGACAACGGATTCTCCTCAAAATTATCTTGAGAGATCATCTTAAAAGGCTGAGATTTGGTTCTCAAGCCCATCATGAGAGAGATTTTACACCATCCAGGAAAGAACTAGAAACATGCTCGTAGCCCAGCTCACAGTAAACAAGCTGAATGAAAAAGCGAAATCTTTGACAGGTGCAGTTCCACTCTCCCGTCATCATGAGCAAGGCTAGAAAACAGAGTACTAATGATGAGTGTCTTAAGTGTGCCACTCAGTTTATTATTATTTTTGTATCAAGGGTGGAAAAACGTCACTATAATCAACCATGAATTAAAAAACAAGATACAATTAAGGGTGTTGGAGGGAGGGTTTATGTATTGCAAAGAACTCAAGTACACGGTTCCTTCTTCCCCTCTCCAGAAACAAATGGCAGCCATTCAGTTATATGCAGGAAAAGAAGGGGTGTACTCAGAGGTGGTGCTGGAATAGTAGCTATACTTGCACCTGCCTGTGACTGTAAGGTGAGATGGCCTTTTCCATGCGTAGTCCATTTACTTTATCTCACAGAACTCAGAGCGTCACAGAGAATGTGCAGAAAGAAACTTCCTTTTGTTATAGCCCAACTAATCCAGCATCCTGTTCTGGGTAGTGTATCTTAATCATGTTAGAATGTGGTGGTAGTGAATAATAGTATATTAGGAAAAAATGGTGTTTGGGTGTATTCTGGGTAGGCATACATATATTGCATTACAATAATGGCTGAATGGAACCTCAGTGTTCGGAGGTGGTGTATCTCATAGAACTAGCTGTGTGTGAGGGGGTAACAGCCTACGAGGGCTGTTGCCCTCTGCTTCTTCTTGTGGCCTTTCCAAGGATATCGGGTTGGCTGCTGTGTGGAACAGGATGCTGGACTAGTTGGGCCATTGGTCTGATTCAGTATGGATCCTTGCTTGTTCTTATGAAAGTCACCGTTCCATGGATTCCAGATGAAGTTTTCATACTGGGCATAATAATAGCTCTGTGGAGAGCTTGTTCTCTTCAGAACGTCATACTCTCCTGTACTCCAAGATGTTCAGGAAAAGATACATCTGGTTCATCAGCTACTATAGTTTTATTCTTCTTGGTGTTACATTCTGAAAGGAAAGAAGGCAAATGTAAAAGTAATTTGGATCTCATGAATCTTTTAAGTGCAGTAACTTCCCTGCCACTTTTAGTAGTTAATTTTTTCTTGGGTTCATTGTCCAAGTTGGATTATTTACTAGGTAGGGATAAGAGTATATCAGCATTATAAATTTCAACCATTTTACTAGTGATTTTGTCTCCTCAATGAAACATGGGACATATATTTCTCAGAGGATGCTGCTAGTGATCCTCTGCAGTGAAGTCTCAGCAGTCTTGCCAGACTACAATTCCCAGGATCCTCTTAGGGTAGCTCTGACAATTAGGGTGGTATAATGCTGGTATTGATTGATGCCCTTACTCCATAGCTGCCTGCAGTGGATGTTAGGCCACACTTTGATCTAGACCAGCTGCTGATTAGAAAGTGGAACTTTTTGCATTGCCCAGAACTCATTAGGCATAAGCTTTTCAAAGTAGGAAGCACAAAAATCCCATACTGTGTGGCTCGGTTGCCTCCCAAGACAAAGAAAGATATCAGTACTGGTGCATGAATTAAATTCCCAATAGGCCTTGCTGAAGAGAGTGAAGTTGCAGTGTCCTTCCAGGGATCAAACAAAAAGTGTTATTTTTGGAAATGTCTGGGGGAAAAGACAGGATAAAGGTTTTAATATTTTAATGCCAATAAAGGCATTTGTTTGTTTGTTGTTGACAGGATAAAGGCATGTTTTATTAGGGATTGTACAGGGGTAGAGGCTGTCCCCAGCACAGTAGAGCCACTGCCTTTGGACAGGGCTGGAGAATTGTCAGCAGTAGATGGGAGCAGTGTTCCCTCTAAGCTGAGTTAGTGTGAGCTAGCTCACAGTTTTTTAGCCTCTGGCTCACACATTTTTGTCTCAGCTCAGGGAGGAGGGCTCCAGAGCAAACTAATTTATGCAGTAGCCAAATCACTTGCTCACAACTTTAAAGCCAGTAGCTCACAAAGTAGAAGTTTTGCTCACAAGACTCCACAGCTTAGAGGGAACATTGGATGGGAGTCAGCTGTGTGTTCTTTGGGTCTGCCTTTGCCTTTCTTGACTGATACAGGAAGTGGTGTGGGGGACTAGCAAGCACACACGCCAGTTTGAACACTCCCCTGATTTCCTTGCAGTCCCAAGGCATATCCTCTGAAGCTTGTGCTGAATGGGTGAGCTTCAGACAGGAAATAATGATGTGGTTGAAACAGGCAGGGACCGCTGGCTTTCTTGTAGATTGGGGTGGTGGCAGCGTGTGGGTCAGCTGCGGCGTGGCTCATCGGTGCTGTGTCAGCAGAGCTTTTCCTGCATCTGGCTGCAGGCTTTAGCAGAGTTAAAACCAGGCCCTGCAGGAATACTTGGAAAAGAGATTTCGGATGTGAACAGGAAGTGTTACAGATCATCTTTTGCCACAAATCCACATTGTCAAGTAAAGGCTACGCCCAAGGCTGATGGCACTCACACGGCAGTTCCCCGGATGTACTAGAAAGTCCCAGATGTGGTATTGAGCTCTGAATCTCAGCTCTGATTTTTTTTTAAAAAAGCAACTTTCTGATCCATGTAGGTGTGAAGCCGTGATTGATCAATGCCTGGTGAAATGTCAGAAGCCAGAATTTCAGAATCAGACTTCCTGTGGTTGGAGGGTGGGGCTTTATTGACTTGTATTTTCCTGTCCTCTTACTATGGCTAGCAGAAGCAAAATAAGAGTGTAAGCTGCTCAAGTCACAAGTGATTTGTGCGGAAATAAGTCCTGCATTGGGTAGGAAAGAGACTTTAGGAAGGAAAGAGGAGGAATGAAAACAGGAGGAAGTGCTGATCGTGGAGGGAAGAAGCCTGGGTGAAAAGATGGTCTTCCAGTGGGGGAAGGAAGTCAGAAGGCCGGTAGAAGAGTATTCTAGGGCAGGGAGCTACAAGGGCAAAGGGATGCAGGTGGGGGAGTCTTAGGTTTAGAATGGATCAGAGTTGTAGGATGAAGACTCTGAGGAGCAACATAGTGAGAGAGAGAGTAGGGAAGAATGGTATGGGAGAGCAGTGCACGTTTACACAACTTGGAGTCTGATATTCACTTATTGGGAGGGGAGTTAAATGTTCCATATGCCTAGCTGACTCTCCCAGCATCCACAGTATATAGAAACATAGAGTTGGAAGAGACCTCGAAGACGAAGAAGAAGAAGAGCCGATACCCCACCCTTTTTCAAGAACAGCTGTGCCAGAGCTATGGCTTGCCCAAGGTCATCCAGCAGGTACAAGTGAAGGAGTGAGGAATCAAACCTGGATCTCCCAGATTAGAGTCCGCGCACTTAACCACTATACCAAACTGGCTCTAGTCCAACCCCCTGCACAATTGCAGTGGATTGTACCTGACGTAGTCCCACTGAAGTTCTTTAAGGCTGCATCTGGTAAATACGCATTAGATAAAACAGAAGAGGTGCAAGGTGAAGCCAGGTGACTGGCCCACAGTGGTGATTAATGCATAATAAGCCTATCGACACGTGAAAGCCAGCTCTCTTCTCCCGCCCCCAGCAACTTAATCCATGTTGTGATTAGGCTTTTATTTGTTGTGCCATCAGCTCATGTGGCACTTTACAAAGTTAGATAAGCAAATAAACAGTCTCTCCCCAGGGAGCTTTCAAATAGACTCTGAGGCAGACAGTGCAAGAAATCTTTGGAACTGTCATGTGGGAGTGCTGTCTGTGGAATCCATCCATTGCTCCAAGTTCTTCTCAGTGCTGTAGGACTTGTGTCCTGCCCTGCTCAAGCTTGCTCCCTGCACAGCAACATTTCATAAGAACATAAGAGATGCCAATGTTGGATCAGGCCAAAGGCCCATCCAGTCCAACACTCTGTGTCACACAGTGGCCAGAAATACCAGGTGCCATCAGGAGGTCCACCAGTGGGGCCAGGACATTAGAAGACCTCCCACTGTTGACCCCCCCCAAGCACCAAGAAGGCAGAGCATCACGTGCCCCTGAGTCCCTATCTATACCCTTGTGGCTAATAATTTCCTACCCAAATGGTGTTGCACTTTCCATAATTTCTTTCTTTCTCTGCAATAACCTTTGAATCCTTCATGCTAATCTGCTTCGAGCCAGTAGTGACAGCAGTTGTCCAAAGCTCACAAAGTCCTCTCCATGGTAATCTGATGCTTCATTGCCATCTCCTGCCAATGCTGCATCCCACAGATTCATTTCCACTTCCTGCATAAAGCGCTTCCCCCACAGTGTTAAAGTACAGAAGCAAAAGGAGGCAGTCTGTCCTTGCCTGTTTTTCACATTCAGTGGGTTGGGGTTTGCTCCTTTGAGGGCCAGCTGTGGAAAAGCAGGCTATAAATTTAAATATGAAGAAAAGATGTAGACCTAAAAATGAGTTTCAAATCAATTCATTTAGGGAAGGTGATGGATTACTGCTCTGAAACATGGATTGATGTGTGTGTGTGTCCCCAGGTACTATAGAGGAACGCACGGGGTTATTGTGGTTTATGATGTCACGAGTGCTGAATCCTTTGTGAATGTGAAGCGATGGTTGCATGAAATAAACCAGAATTGTGACGACGTCTGCCGGATATTGGGTAAGCTGCCCCATTTCAGTAGCCGTTGGGCCTTGTCAGTCTAGCTGCCCAATGGCTCATTCATGGTATTGCTTTTATCACGTGATAGCAAGTCTTGTGTGGTGGCAAAGAGGCTGAGTAAAGTCCTTGGTTCAAGTCTCTTATCAGCTCTAAGTGCACTAGTGGGCCTTAAACAAGCTGTTATCTATTAGTCCATTCCCGGATGCAAAATGGGCATGATGACAATATTGGCTAACCTAACTGTGCCGTAGGGGTTACCAAAATAATGTACGCAAGGCGCTGTATTCATCTCTCATACAGCTGTTACTTCACAGCAGTGACTCCATATATACCACTAGGGATGGGCACGAACCGGGAAAATGGAGGTTTGTGAAGGTTCATGGGATCTCACGAACCTTCCCATTTAATGAACCGGTTTGTGGTTTATGATGCGGTGAGGTTTCCGGGTCACCACTTCCTGGTGACTTCACCACTTGGATGTCACTCATGCGCTGCGCAGCTTGCAAAAGCTTTTGCAAGCCATGCCACACATGAGTGCAGCCCAAGTTTGCAAAAGTCATTTATAGGGTTTGCTTTAATTGACTTTTATAAGCCACGGTGCGACTCACAAGTGAACCCAAAAGTTGTCAGCTTGGTCTCTTTAAATGCCTTCTCTAAGCCCCACCAGCGGCACCAGCGTGTCTGCCAACATGAATTGCACAAACCTCCTAAAGCCACCTGAGACGGTCGTGGCAGCGGGATGGCATGAACCTCAGTTTGCGAACCATGAACCGGGCCCAGTTCATCATGAAATTAGGTCCATGAGCCAGTTAGAACCCATTCCTATATACCCCCATGGCTTTATGAGTTGGACCCTAAGAATTCTGTAATGACCTCATTGTTATTACTTATAGTCGGCAATAAGAATGATGATCCAGAGAGGAAAGTGGTAGAGACGGAAGATGCCTATAAATTTGCTGGGCAGATGGGGATCCAACTGTTTGAGACAAGCGCCAAAGAGAACATTAATGTGGAAGAGGTAAGAGGTGCCTGGGGCAAGGCAGGAGGTGGGGGGAGGCCATAGGGCTGCTGCCTCTGTGAAGGAGGTCCATGAATGTTCTTTCCTACCTTAAGATTTCTGTCATAGAGGAACTGGGAGGGGATTGCACAGCTACGTAGCCTGGTCGCATCCATCTTTTCCTGCATAATGCTTTGTGAGACATTGGAGCAGGAAGCAGAGGGAAGCAAAAGCTACTTCTGGTGTGGGCGTGCAAGTCCTTTGGGATGGGTGCCACCCTTGGAAAGGACAAGCCAAAAACGTGATGGTGACAAAGTAGTAGCTTGTTGTTTAGAGCCTGCCCTACCTGTCCCTCTGTGAAGTGTTTCCTTAGAGAAAGCTTGTTCGAAGCAGGCATAGAGCAGCCTGCACGCAGACCCATGAAGCTGACTGCAGCCTAGCAGTCACGTATGGTGGTCCACCAGGGACTTGATGTGCTGCCTCCCTTTTGATGTCTGGAACTGCAAAAACAGAAGGGGGGAAGTGTGTCAAGCACATGGCAGGCCAAAGTGCTGGGCTGTGTACAACATGGTGGGTTACAAGTTGTGCAAGCCTGTGGAACAGGTTTTGCAGTTAGAAGGGTAACCAGGAAACAGAAAAGCAAAATTTCTTTCTCCCTTGCTCAGCCATGTCCCAGGAGCTAAGAACAGTCTACATACCCTGTTGATATGAAGAAGTCAAGCTGTATCTTAGTAGAGTTGTGGGGGGGAACCTAGTGGAGGAGGAAATAGTTCTAAAGGTCAGTTGCCACCCATTCAGGGAAAATCTTGGTTATGTTCTTGACTTGCAGTTTGCTACCTCTGCTGCAACTGTTCAGCCTTCACTTCGTGCTGATTAGTTTGAAGAGTTGTGGGCAAGTGGGCGGCGACTATACCTGACTGCCATGACCCATGCCCTGACCCAGTCTCATCAGCTCTTGGCCCTGATTAGTACTTGGGTGAGAGACCACCAAGGAAGTCCATGGTCTGTACAGAGGCAGGCAGTAGCAAATCACCTGTAAGCATCTCTTGCCTTGAAAACCCCATGGATGTCCCCATAAGTCAGCTGTGACTTGATGGCACCACACACACACACAACCTATGACCCATGCTGTCTTTAACACCCCATCTGGCATTCTGTGGAGACTCCCGACGGTTCTTCTTTAGTATATACTAGTGGGCCACAGCAGAAGCTACTAGCTGCAGCCTTACACAATTTTTGGTAACAAAGCTGTCTTAAAAAAAAAAAAAGGATTATAGTGGGATCAGCTTCTCTGTTTTTAAATCCAGCTTGGGTTCAGGGACAAACAGTGCTCCCTCTAAACTGAATTAGTGTGAGCTAGCTCACAGTTTTTTATCCTCCGGCTCAAACCTTTTTGTCTTAGCCCAGGAAGGATGGCTCCAGAGCAAACTAATTTATGCAGTAGCCAAATCGCTCGCTCACAACTTTAATGCCAGTAGCTCACAAAGTTGAATTTTTCCTCACAAGACTCTACAGCTTACCCCCATTTTGGTTTTACTTTTTAAATGGTTGCTCAGGAATTGAGAATTGTAGTACTTAAATTCTGTATATAACACAAAAGTCTTATGAAATTTCCCATGAGGTTCTATCAGTTTTATGAAGCATTGCCAGGATAGGATCCTTTGGAGGAATTCTGCAAACAGAAGGGGGTGGGATTTTCACTGATTTGCCCCCTCATGTTATTCCTGGGAAGTCCCTGGAAGGAGTATTTTGTGCTATAATGGGGGTGGGGAGAGGCAAGGAAGGTCCAGTCTGTTGATAGAAATCCTTTCCATTAGTGGAAGTGTTCCTTGGGATCCAAGCCTAGATCGATTTGTGTTAGCCAGGGTTCACACACAGAGATCATGCTAAGGCAGGATAAAGGAGGACAAGGATGACTTGTAAGAGAGGAGGAGCTTGGGTGGAGGGGAACCTGTGGTCTTGCAGCCAGGACTTTTACGTCCAACCAATGGCCAGTTAATGTTCTGTCTGTGTTTGTCTTGGTTTTAAGATCAGCTGGTGCAACCCTGTTGTAAGGGGAGACTGTCGCTGGCTTGCTTCTGCCCCTTCCCACTCTCATCTGACTTCTTTTCTCTCTTGCAAGATGTTCAACTGCATCACAGAGTTGGTTCTGCGAGCAAAGAAAGACAACTTAGCAAAGCAGCAGCAGCAACAACAGAACGACGTGGTGAAGCTAACGAAGATTAGTAAACGGAAGAAACGGTGCTGCTAATGTCCTTTCTTCTGCGGCAGAGACTGCCCACTCAGACAGCTCAGCCCTTCCAGCCAGACTCGGGCAATTCCGCTGGGCTAGGCCTTGGGAGGACTCGGTTTTTTTCTCAGTTTGTGCCGTTATTTAAAATGAATTCTCTCCATGTCTTCGGTCAGGAGGCACCTTACCACAGCAGTGCCAAGAAGGTATTGGATGGAGGTGATCCCTCCCCCTCTCTCCTCCTTGCTTTTTCAAGAGCATCTTGTAGACAAAAAATGACTTTGCCTACCAAGTGGACTTTTGATTCTAAAAGTTTGTACATAATGTATATTTGCTTTAACCAGCTGTGTCTGCCCCTGATGTCGCTTCGGCTTCTGCCTTCTTAATCTCAACCAATCATGTGTTGTCCAGAGTTCCTACTTTTCCCCCCCCTTTTCCAAAGAAACAGAATAATGTCCTTACACAGAGTTGGCATCCACTGCTCTCTGGGCCTTTGTTAAGCTTCCAAGCTAGGAATTGACATCCTTGGGGGCTTTCAGTTTCACTCACTGCCGAGCTCCAGGTTGCATTGGGAAGCGTTCTGAGATTCTTTTCCTACATTCCAGAATTGCTGATGCTGCTGGAGCTGACGGGGCAGTCCTTGGAATAGCTGCATTCTTGACTCTCTGCAGTGTGGTAGAGCGTAATGAGAAGTGCACCAGGCCATTTGTTAAAATGAAACCTTTGGGGTTTGGTTTAAAACAACTTTTTTTCTAATGACATTAATCTCCTGTAGGATCAACAAGAGCTACATAATTGTTATTTGGCCAAACATCCCTTCCCACCCCGTTTCTCCCCCATCCATCATTCAGTATCCAGTTAAAAGGGTTGAATTCAGAAGTGCTTTTCTGAGGGACAAAGTCTTTGGAGTGTGTATGTGTTATGTATAAGTGATGAAAAGTATAGGAGGGAGACTCTGGCTCTTCCAAATGGTGCTTGCAACCAACAGCTGTTGCCAGGCTATTTCCAAGGTCCTCCGCATTAGAATGGATGCTGTCTTCTAGATATCAAGACCACTTGCTTGGGTGATTGGATCTCCTTCAACAGTGCCACTTGGCTCTTGTTAGGCTGAAGATAAAATCAGGATTCTTCTGGTTACCATGTACTTCAGTAGGGGAATAACCAGGGCTCAGCTCCTTGGCATTTAAAAACAAATGACCTCTCCTAGCATATTAAGAGGGTATTGCCTGGGCTGTCAGAGACACCTGATCATCAAACTGAAACAGATGTGTGCTTTGTGGCCCCTGAAGATGATCATGTTATCCAGAGGCCCTCCAATGTCAGTAACCCTTTGGACTTAGAATCATGCAAGAAGGGCTGAAAACCTTATTTATTTATTTTTGTTTGCCTTTATTAACATGCCCTGATTGTACAATCGCATCACAGGTAGTCTGACTTTACAGTCATTTCCTTGCAAATAATGAATGTGATGGGCCAGTGAAAGCGTTTTGGAGAAAAAAAAACAAATAACATCCTAGCTTTCTTATCTTCCACCACCAACTTCTCTGTGCATCTCTTGTAAGTTACTTTCACTAATTCAAAAAATGTGAATGTGAACTTGAACAATCCAGTTTGGAATGAGTTTCTAGTGTGAGAGGCCTGTAGAAATGGCAGAGGTTATCTCCGTTTGGATCTGTCTGCCTGAAGAAATTGTGTCTCCTCCTTGTGGGCGGGGTGGGGTGCAGTGCGTGCTGTCAAGTTGCAGTGGTCTCTTGGGAAGAGGGAACACGGGTGTGAGCTTTGCCAGTCCAGCAGTACAGTTTTCTGGCTTTGAGGCGTGGTATGCTTTTTCAATGCTGCTTTCAGCCATCTCCCTTGCTCAACCTCAGCTCATCGTTAAAGGAGGTTGTACAGTGTTAGGCTGCTTGGTGGGTGACACCTGCAGGGAGTATTAAAGGAAGGGGGGGGGGGGGACACTGAATCCTTAGCAGTGCTGATATCAAGCAGTGGAATGTCTAACGGGTTTGCTAGGATTATTTCTGTATATTGAAACTTTCTAATTAATGCTTTTTAAATAATTTTAAAAACTAAAAATAAAGGTGCCAAGCTGCCAAACCTTCCTTCAAGGGCTCTCTGTCTTCTTTGTTTTCCCCAGCTTTGGGTATAAAATGTAGAGCCCTGGTTTCTGCAGAACTCCAGACACCATTCAGTTGAATGTCTTGTGTAGGTACTTGCCAATTTTAGTGTTCATGTTACACAAAAGGAGTGAGAGGACTCTGCCTTTGGAAGTGAGGTTTTGACCTCCAGAGCCTCTTCCCTCTCTCCCATTCCTGTTGTGCTGCTCTGTTTAGCCAATGATATTTGTTTGCCAGGTTGCCTTCCTGAACTACCATAATAGGTATTTGTAAGCTACCCTTTTAGTAAACTCTGTTCTTTTTTTGTTCTGGCTTGAGATATACCTACACTACAGGCTTCCAGTACAGAATTGTCAGCAACTCTGAACTACAACTCCCAGCCTTCTTTGGGAGAAGCCATGACCATGTTTTAAAAGAGATAAGGCTCTCGTTTAGATACTTGTCTTAAATTGCACTGATTGCAGTGAAGCATTAGATGTGTTGTAGGGTGACACGGAATGTTCAGTGGTGCTCTTATAGGCATGCTGAGGAGCAAGGGTGTAGAGTAGTTGGCGGAGCGAGTCCCTCATTGCGCCATCTTCCTTCAGTCCTTGTCATCCACCATCTTGTGGCATATCTGAATGACTTGTTATCCAAAGCCGTCTTTGCTGAATTAACTTACCCTGGCATAGTCATAGCCAGACACAAATGACTCAGCAGGGGATCTCTGGATGAAATAGAGAAGCAGCCTGATAGACTCACCCTTGCTTCCGTCTTTTCAGACTTGGTTGCGTTTGCCACTTGTCAGGGAAACAATTGGTTGCATCTCTCTTAACATCTGCTACAGTGAAGTCGACTGAAACATAACTAACTTTTCCCCCTGAAACTGGGTCTGAGAAATTGAGGCAGTGTGGGTGATGAAGCACGGTACTTGGGAATGGGTTGACAAATTAACATATTGGGCAGGATGGCATTTGCCCATGTTCCCATGTGAAAGTTCTGCTTTTGCATACAAAGCATCTGCTCTGCCAATGAGCTACTGTCAAACTTGGCTGGAAGTCTACAAGATGGTCAGCCTGAGGACAATCCTTTTTTGCTTTGTTTTAAAGGAGATAAGTAACTAAGTTGGCTGGCATAATTTCTGCCCCAAGGAAACTGGTGCAAAGTGTTACAGCTGGAACATAACCACCCTTCCTGCCACAGAATAAGCATTGCAATTGGATGCCTTGCCTTGCCCAGTTCCTAGAATTTTAAAACTGTAGAACAAATGGAGTTGTTGTGGACCAGCCAAGCCCAGCAGAGCAAAGAGACACGGAAGACTCCTCTGAGGAAGACGCAGCCAGCAGACCTAACCCCCCAACCCACAGCCAGTGGCAGAGGTGCTGCAGGAAGAGGCAGTCTCTGAGGGGCCAGACATAGATCCTCAGCCAGGAACCAGCACACAGGCCCCTTAGCCTCCCAGCTCCGGGCGGGCACCCCTCCCCCATCACCAGAGCTTCTGGAACGCCGTAGGAAAAAGATGACCTAGCTGCACAGCACCAGCAGTGAGGATGAGTGCTTGCAGGAGCAGGACTGAGGCAGCTGGCATGTGTGTGATGCAATACAGGCTGTTGAGCAGTGTGATGCGTAAAAGCAGCAGAGCAGGGAGTGGCTGTGTGGAAGCAACTCATCCATTAGCTACTGACCTTGTTGCCTGTGCTATGGATTGACTTCTTCGTCTCGACCCTGGCCTGCACCTTCGTATCTTTGTTCTTGGATTTCTCTTTGGGCTTGAAGCTGTGCACGTTGCCTTGCCTACCCTGTGCCTGAACCTTGGAACTGTATTTTGACTCCTGACCCTGGCATTGCTTTACAAACTCTGACGCCTAGAAACTGTGTGCCTGCTGTGGGCCAGTGATCAGGACAGGAGTGATCTGATTGCCATTTGTACATGTTATTTTCAAATAGCTTTTGACAATGTCCAAAGGCTCTTAAGAAAATTTAGCTGTAACAAGATTACAGGATAGGTCTTCTTGTGGACCAGTCACTGATCTTTAAAAAGGCAAATACTAGCCTGTAAGGATAAACATCTGTGTCCCCAATTATCCTGCGCTCTGCAGGCTGACCAGTCAGGTCTCCTCTGGAGCAAGTGTCCTAAGGTCCTGACAGCCAGGAGCATCAATAGGTGCTGGGAGCCAGGAGCTAGAACTGAAGGCAAGGTTTCACTTGCAGGTTCTGACAGGGTGGTCTCTGGCACATTGCTCACTGGCAGCTCTGCCGTGTCAGGCCTTCCCCGATCCCCGCAGTCCTCCTCAATCAGTGGTCCTGGTTCCTCAGGCTCTTCCACTGAGAATTCTGACTCTGAGTCACTAGTTGGGGAGGGTCATGAATGAAACCAGTGGAGAGAAATGAAGGACCTGCAGTGAGGCTGGAGCTGTGTAATTTATTCATAGACTGTCTGCAGTAAGAGGTGGAAACAGAAGTAGCCTGGTCTGTGGACTGTTCACACTGGTATAATCCCAAGCAAACCCAAGCAAACTCAAGTCCTCATTGTGAAAATGTGCAAAGGCTGAGGCAATCTCAGAAAGCAGAATTGCTGAATGTGATTTCCAGTGGGAAATGCTTCAGAGCCCTGTAAAGTGCTCTACCCTGCCTTGTCATTAGCACAAGCAGAATGAATGATCCAAAATATGGCTTAATTGCATAACTTACATAGGATGCAACTGGGTTTACATTAATCTATCTAGAATACTGATCTTTTTATCCTCAAACGAAAAGTACACAGAGCCCTCAGACTCAAAGATGACGATGGTTTTAGTAGAAGACTTTTACTCCTACTTTACCACATTGAATTGTCTTGACAAAAATAAACCACCTGTACACCACATTGGTCAGACTGTACCTGCAGTACTGTGCAGTCCTGGAGGCCTTGTTTCAGAATGAAGTGGGTGCAGAAGAGAGCAATAGGATGATCCGGGGCCTGGAGCCTGAGCCCTACGAGGAAAGGCTGAGGGACTTGGGAATGTTCAGTCTGGAGAAGAGGAGGTTGAGGGGGACACGATTGTTCTCTTTAAGTATCTGAAGGGCTGTTCCTGTTGGCAGCAGAGGATAGGACTTGCAATAATGGGTTTAAATTACGGGCAGGAAGGTACCAGCTAGATATTAGGAAAAACATTTTTTAAAAAAGTAGTTCAGCAGTAGAATCGGCTGCTGAGGGAAGTTGTGAGCTCCCCCTCACGGGCAGTCTTCAAGCAGCAGCTGGACAAACACTTGTCGGGGATGCTCTAGGCTGGTCCTGCATTGAGCAGAAGGTTAGCCTGGATGGCCCCTTAACCAAATGTTAAAAATAGCCATGGAGCCTGTCCCAGTTGGTCTGGTACCGTGGGCTTACCATCCCAGTGAGCAATTCACAAAGACAAAACCCATAGAAAGGACTCTTTTATTTGGACGAGAACTATTTACAAAAGAAGCAGTAGAGCAGTGTTTTCTACTAAAATATGCCTTTATAGAATATCTTATAAAAACCATATATTTATTTACATTACTGCTACATACAAAAATTACTGCACTGTGTGGTATGTACATACCTACATAGATACATTCTGTCTGTTCATCCCTGCTGTGTGCTTTTTTTTTTCTTTTTTACACTCAGTCCCCAAGGGACCTGTTGACAACTCCCAGGCACATCTCCCTTTTCGGTAAAAGCATACGTGGGACTAATGGCCAACTGATGTTCTTTGGAGGTGCAAGTTGTCCCTAGAACCTGCCATCCTATGGGAAAACCAACTCTATTTTAGTCCTCTCTTTGCCTGTATTCTAAGTTCATGCAGCAAATAAGACACAAGCTCATTCCTAGGTTGTACCACTGCAGGTGGAGGGATTGAATGATTTAATTCCTGCAACACAGATAGTTAGAGGCAAAGGAGATAAGTACTAGCTTAGCATTCTCTGCAATGCTCGTTTTACTTGTGCAGAATTGTTTTTTCCATGGAGCAGGGTTCAGGCAATTCTTCTACCTGCATTCTAAACTGGGGCAGTGCTGGAGCAACCTTCCTCCCCAACTATTGCTGATGTGAACCTCATGTACCCCAACCATTACCTTTTTGCCCGCTGTATACAACAGAAGATGGCTAGATTCTGGCTACACATTCCACTTGCCATGTGTTTAGGGAGCCCATCTTTGCCTGATGAGACCTCTAAATTCTCCTGCCTAGAGAGGCAAGGACAGGTGGAGAGGATGACAGGTGAACACAGCGAAACAGGACTTGCTGACTGCTATTCTCTCAGCAGAATGGCTAATTTCCCCTGCTCCTCTCCGTCCCACCTTCCAGGGAAGACAAGTTGCTAAATACAGAGACGAGCACTGTTAGACAAGGAAGGAGAAAGGGGACTAGCAACTCCTGCCCTCCATCTTTGGCTCCCGCCTACTCAGCCTGTTTCAAAGTTCTCAGTCAGCAGAGCTTGGTAACCTCCGACTTCTTTTCAGGTAGGAAATGTAAGATGTAGCCAGCATCTATTGATGACGCATGAAGGGGTAAAAGATGGCATCATTGTCTAAGCGCAATAACGGACATTTACAAAGTTTGATAAGACTCTGTGCAATTGTTTTTTAAGACCACCCTTTTCGGTAATGTCTCATGATCTCCCAACAGCCTGTTGACCTCTCCCCAGAATAAGTGAGAAGGAAGAAAACAGGCCCATACCATTTGCTCAGCTGCCCCCCACCCCACCCTGGAATTCATAATATGAACCAGGTTGCAGGCCCCACCTAAATTTGTCACCAAAGACCCACACCTGGTTATGGTTCAGTAAAATCACAGTGCAGTGCATGAGTGCGGCTTGCTAGAAACCTGTCTGGAGGGGCTGTTCTGATAGGGCAGTAAACTAGAAATACAAGTGAATGAGAGGGCACTGGCTCACTCAG